TTAAATTATGGAATTAAAATCTTTAGATGAAGAGAGAAAAGTTCAATATCAGTAAATTTTTTTAATTTAAAAATTATTATTTTATAATTTAATATAATTTAAATTATAAAATAAATTTTTATTAAACTTTTTAGAGTAAAAGAAGTCATGGTTAAAATCTTGGACATGGAATCGTACGTGTTTCTACAGTTCTACTATTTGGTCAAAGTATTGCACTACTTTAAAAGACACCGGGTTTGGTGCTAAAGACAAAGTTTGGGGTTTTGGTTGGTTTTATTCAACCTCCTTCCAACAATAATTGTCCCATTTTGACAAAAATTTTGTAACAACCCTACCTTTTATATTTCAAGACTTCTTTTTTTCTTAACTGGATTTGGCTTTCTGGCTTTTAATTTTTAAAGTTCTTCAACTTCATTTAAAAACTTATAAATTTTAGTCCCTTAATAATATAATTTAAGGAAATTTTTTTTATTTGGCAGATTTAAACTATATATTGTTAATTTGATATTATTTTCATATTAATTAATAACACATTAACATTTTTATTATATGTGACATGCCGTGATCTTAGATATTTATTTTAACTTCTTTTGTTTGTCTTTTTTTATTTAATATGAAAGAATGGAATCCGAATTACATTAGAGGAGAATTTGCTATTGATTGCTATAGTAGCATTCCATGTAAAATAAAGATGTAGATGTGTTGCTAACTAAGATGGAGGCAACGTTGGATAACAATGTGCACTTAAAAACCATTACATAAGGAAAGTATTTCTCATATTGTATTGTTGAGAGGTTAATATTTAATACCTTGAGCTTTTAGGAAGCTAATAACTTTAAATTTTCTAAATTTAAGAATTAAATAGGGAAGTTAAGCCTTTTTCTTTAATAATTGACTTTAAATTAAAATCTTTTATGTTTATTAAAAAAATTACCACTAAATTTCTAAATGACAATAAATATATAATTAAAATATGAAAACTATTGTGAGACGAATGAAGAATGTTTTTTATACATTGGTCCCAAAAGCCAAAACAATTGAATCAGACACATGGGTAGTTTTCTGAGGGTCTGACGGAGTTGTCTCAGGCTTGAAATAGCAGAACCCACCATGCATGGTCTCAGTCTTCTCTGTCTTGCGGAGGAATCAATGCACTGAACCACCCCAATTCCCTCTCCATGTATACTACTATATCCACTATTTTTCTTGGCCTTCCATGTCAACTATCTTTGGATTCTGCCATTCTGGAATAATTATATATATATATATATATATATATATATATTACATTCACCTTTTCAGAAATTCGATCATCATACTACCTCATGTGCAAAAGTAATACTGTAGCATGACGAGGGCTGTGAGTGGGGGGACCAAACATGAAAGCATTTTTTTGGGTCAATTGAAAAGAACATACATGGAGAAAACAAAATTGAAACAAAGGACTGATTTTGGTTAGATAATGTCAACTTAAAAAGCATGTTTGGTTTGAGAGGTAGAAATAATTTGATGGATTGCAATATTTCCCTTCCACTTAAACAGTTTGTTTACATCATAAATTATAATTTTTAAGTGATGTTACGTATGAATTGGAAAGTGAGATCATATAAAATTTCTTGGTTGTTAATTACTTGCAATGGTGATATTTATCCGATTAGTTGCAGTTCAAATTGAAAAGAAACAAAAATTCTTATAATTTAGGAGGAAGTGCAATTGAGACAGTAGAATGGTACAAGTGGCAAGATATATTATAGCCTTGACCTGGTCTTGTTGATGTGCTGATGTGCCCATTATTTTCTCTGAGAAATAATCCATAATAGCTAGCATGTGAAATAAAAGGACAATTCATAGGAAGCATATAAAAAAAATGTTTCAAATTATTTAACACACGATAGCCAACCCTACACACAACCCAAAACAAGCTTTGACGTTTTCAGATTTTTGCTTTAGCTTATAAATTTCATTTTTAACACACTACTTTATAGATTTTAGGTTATCTCCAATATTCAAATAGTCAAATTAATTTATGTATTTGCTTCTACAATTGCATATCATGCAATGGATAGCAACTATTCTAATTTCCACAAGGTACTATTTCTTTTCTAATCTTGGTTTATTTTAAGCTTATGGTGAATAGTATTTTTCATATAATGGTTGCTTATATAGAGTTCACGCTTCTTTCTTATTTTATTTTCAGTGTCAATTTAATTTTTGTTCATATATGCTTTTTAGTTAATTAGTTTTAAATTTCTAGTTTTGAGGTAGGTTAATTTGCAAACCTGTCTATAGATGTAGGTTTATCTAGCTCTAAACATAGTAATTTTAATCAAGATGCATTCATCTTTTGCAAGTCTTCTTTACTCTATGTTTCATTTAGTATATTTATGATCTATTAACTTTAAATTTATGGTAT